GGGGGAGCAGGAGAGGGAGAAGCAGACTCCCTGCTGAGCAGGGAGCCCGATGCGGGACTCGATCCTGGGACTCCAGGATCATGACCTGAGCCAAAGGCAGTCGCTTAACCAACTGAGCCACCCAGGCACCCAGATCTCTGCATCTTGAGCTTTGAGGTCATCTTATGTACGTCAACTGAAATCTTCTAAAACTGTTATGTGTGTTGATTAAGGTGTTAACTGGTCCAATGGAGCAGAGGTTTTTGTAGTTGACATCCTTAAACTTTTTTTTCCTGGCTGTAACTAGATCCCCGGCACGATATGTACATTTACATGTATATTCACACACATACACACGTGCATAGAGAATCACATCTATGTATCAGTAGCGTGATGAATGTTAGCTATTATTCATTCATCTGTCCTTACCTGCTCCTCATGCTGTGTTGTTTCCAGTGTTTCTTCAGTTCTTTCTTTTTTTTTTAAATTTTATTTATTTATTTGACAGAGAGAGACACAGGGAGAGAGGGAACACAAACAGGGGGAGTGGGGGAGGGAGAAGCAGGCTTCCCGCGGAGCAGGGAGCCCGATGTGGGGCTCGATCCCAGGACCCTGGGATCATGACTTGAGCCGAAGGCAGACGCTTACCGACTGAGCCACCCAGGTGCCCCTGTTTCTTCAGTTCTTATAAAATTCCCGTGAAGCACTGTTTCCCTGCCCTTTCCACCCAGGGGCTCGCAACTCGGAGGAGGTACTCAGCGTTCTCAAAGTTAGTCCAGGCGTAGTGGGCCACGGGGCCACGGCCACCTTTCCACCGCCTGGCCCCCCGCCGCTCGCTGTACTTGCCTGGGGGCTACTGCGAGCGAGGCAGCCATGCTCTGCTCACCTCAGCATGCGGAGCTCACTCGCCAGCGTTTGTCGGGTCCGCCGCCGTGGGCTCTGATGCCAGGTGTCTGAGCTTGTGGGGTTTGCTTTTTAAGTTTTCTGCTTCTTCAGCAGTGACTGAAAACTGTCAGTTCTGTTACTGTTGGGCTCACTCAGCGTTCCTGTGGGTGAAGCCTGTGTTCCGACAAGCAGTTTGGGAAGTGTGGCGCGGGTGTGGAGGGGACCAGGGGGAGAACTGGGTGGGGGGCTCTGGATCCCTCAGTGAGACCTAACGAGTAAGTACATGTGCTCACCTCATAGTCCTGAATTACCGTGTCTTACAGATTCTTGTTAACTTACCGTGTTGTTGTGTTTGGCTTGTAACTGCTTACAAGCACCTGAAGTTCTCTCTGCTGTGACCCGTATCGCCTGCACTGACCTGATCATCAGACATTTGCAAGTAGCTGGATATTCTATCCTACAGGCCAGTCTTTGAGGAACATTTGCCCTTCTTAGAGAGACGAGGGCCACAGAAATCACGACATAGCAAAAACTCAAGAAACGTACTGCTCTTTGCTCGAGTTCCGGAGAAACCGCCTGTGCAAACCTGACTTTTGGCCCCTGCACCGAACGCCTGACTTGAATGTGTGCATTAGGGAATGCTGGTGTGCCATGGTTCTTGGTTTCTGTTGCTCTGGTTTCTGTGATCGCGGCACTGTCTCTTATTTACCTAGGGAGATCCATCGGATAATCTCTCATGACTCTCAAGTGGAAATAATTCTGCAGTGATAAAACCTAAGGGACTAACGGAGGAGGTTCTGATTAGATGGATAGATCATGTAGGAGAAATTAGTTTAAAATTAGAAGTTAAAATATGAAAGGTTTGTCCTGAAAAGTAGAAATCTATAGCTAGGATGTAAATGTTATTAGTCTGCTCTTTTGACACCAAAAACAATTTTAAGTGACGCTATTTTAGGCAATTATAGATACTTGGAAATCAGTCATATTTAAAAACACTAGTTTTTATGATTTCAAGGTGTTCCTTCAGATTGTCAGGCATTTGCAGGTGGAGAGCCTCAGAGAGTATGTTCTAGCATGGATCTCGCCCTTGACAGCAAGACCAGAGGTTGGCCTCTTGTTGGGTACCTCTGTCAGAGTCGTCCGCCCCGCCCCGCCCCAGTCCAGTCCCTCTGGCTGCTGTGAGCCGCACGGCAGGGAGTCAGACCCTGGGCCTGCAGTGCCTGGGCTCACCGGGGGACCAGCCCCTGAGGTTGTTGCTCCCACCAACACTCCCCCCCCCGCCCTGCCCTGTCCTCCCCAACCTTCCACCACCTCTGCCTCTGAGAGCAGGCCCCGCTCACGGGCTCGCCCCCAGCTGTCCTGGCTGCCCTGCCTTCTGTGGCCTGCTCCGTCCCCTGCGCCGGCCCTGGCCCAGGCCCAGGCCCTTGCCCCCTTCACGCACAGACCGTGTTCCAGAGCCGTCCGGTGTAAAATTTTGATTCTGTTCTGACACTTCAGATCTTCCTTCTTGTTTTGTCTCTCTTTTTTTTTTTCCTCCTACTACTTATCACATGATTTAAGATGCTGTATGTTTTACTTTTTGTTCTTACCTGTTTCCCTCACTAGTTTTCACGTTTCCCGAGGCAGGCACTCTGGTTTTGTCACTGTGCTCTGCAGTGTGTCCAGGTGCTGGTCTTGGTGCGTGCCGGTGTGACCAGCGGTGTCCTTGCAGGGCCGGGGCGGGCTTGGTGCTGCTTCATCCTGCTGAGACGCTGCACGTTACAGAGTGAACGCTCCATGAAGGCACAGCTCTGTCTGATTTTACTTGTTAGTGACACACATAGTGAGTGGCCAGTAAATGTGCAGAAACACAATGAATGTACACAGGCATACATATTCATCAGGAGCAAGGCGTTTCGATTGTATAGCTTGTCAAATTTGGGACTATTTTTGTCTTATTTCTGGTGATTTATAGATTATAAAATTTCCAAAGCAATTATTATGTTAAAAATATTAAAGCAATACTGAGATGATGGCAGTGAGAGGTAGACTACATTCAGTAATCACTAATTGCTGGCAATATTATGTTCAGATAGGCTGGTAAGATGATTTTAGTCATGCTTTTAATTGAGCATGACATTGAGACTTTGATGCTACTTGTACTTATGTAGACCAAATTTAAAGCCTTTATACTTACTTTAAGTCAGATTTTAGATGAATGAACATTTTGCATTTAAGTATAATTGAGGTGTATTTTAGTATTATAAATTTTCCCCATAATAATAAAAAATTGTTATTCCTCCCAATAGTCTATAGACAGTCAGCAGGTAATTTAAGGATTATATTAGGTAGAAGCTTTCCCTGTCTGTGTACTTTAGTTTGTTCCCCTGTGCAGTGTATTATTTTTTGTTTCAATTCTTAAAGCTTACACATTTTAATTAATAGAAGTTTTTTCTTTTAGGAACTGCACTGTGGTTCTAAGCCCACATCTCTTAAATTATACTTGGTCGTGTAAATAAGCTGTGCTTTGCAACTTTGGGTTCTTAACCTTTGTACTTTGCTATTAGCTTTATGTTTTTTTAATTATAAGAAAATAGAGGACAGTAGGGAAGTTATGACTTAAATGGACTGTTATTACTGCATTCTTCTTTTAAGGAAATGAAAAATGTTATTTTGTCCAAATTAAGCAGAAACAAATATAGAATATCTTGTACTGTTTTTTTGCTAAGCCTTTAATATCATCACAGTTTGATTCTTTACACGCAATCATTATTTTTCCATTTTAATGATTGATAGTGTGCTCAGTTATTTATACTGTCAAGCGTGTATTGTCCGTAGTTATTACCTCATATATAAAAAAGAATGAATGATGCCATTTTCAGCATATACAAATACATTATTTGAATAATGAAGTCACAGTCATTTAAAAAATACAAATATATTACTTTAGCCTTGAAACTGAGGTTCCCTAATATTATAGGAAAAGAACCAAAATAGACCAGACATGAAAAAAACAAAAGAAAAAAGAGGCATTCACCTTTTTAGAAATTGTTTCAGTCGTAGCGTTTGGCATGTCTCTTCCATAAGGCCATAATACTTTACAGCCTTACGTTGCCCGTTTGTGCAAACATGTCCAGATGAATTCAGTGTTTAATGTTAAGAATCTTATAACATGCCAATTTGATTTGTAGCCCTTCATATCATAGAATGCTAATTAAAATCATATTTTTGCATATGTCATGCCTTTCATGTACATATGCAAATAGATTCTGTTGCCTTTCAGCTATTGGTAATTAACTTTATGAAGGACAGCTGTAATACATAATTAACAAAAATGTTTGCAAGCCCTTTTACACTGAAAGTTATAACATTAATTTTTTTTTCTCTTATCAAGAGAACCACTTTAGTCTGATGCTTCTGAATGAGACCTAAATTGTTTAAATAATCATACTATGTAATTAAATTGATGTTGTACTGTGGTCAGAAGGAGACTGGTGTTCCATGGACTGGCTGCTGATTCCTGTCCATTTCATATTTATGTCCTCAAAATTGAATTAAGTAAGCTGATTTGTGTATAAAATAAGATAGCGTGTCAGGTAATACTTTTTGTTTGTTTTAGTTATTGATATCTTCTTGGCACTTAAGTACATTTTTTTTTCATGTGCCACAGACACAGTAAACATATCATTTTTAAAAACCCCTTTTCAAAGTATTACCATGTTTTCAAGGAAGCTTCATGGAGGCTATTTCTCTTTTATAGTTCCTTAAATATTTCATAAAATGACATTTTCTCAAACTCCTTCCCTGATTGAAGTATGGGATCAACTAGGGGGCAGTGAAGATTATGTCGAGGCATCGCTTTGTCTCTCTTAAGACAGGGAAGGCAATGACTGAGGTACAGTCACCATTTCTGCTCCTGTTCGCACACTCGAGTAAGAAAATGAACCAGTTAGTTTAAATACAGTTATTTCTTCCGGTTTTCAGGTATCACAGTACGTTTGATCTGCAGGCAAGCTTCTTGTTTACCAGGAATGCCGCTCTAATGTGCATTTTCATATTACATCTGTATATAATTGCCTGTTTTAAGTACTTTGTGGACATATTTTTAGCAGAGAGTCATGTTTTAGTTCTTTAATTACTGTTATTCCTTTCTTTAGGGTTGCTTTTGTAATGAAGAAGCACTTAAATACGCATCTACTAGGCAAACATGGAGTTGGCACCCCAAAAGAAAGGTAATTTTTGCTCATTTAAAAAAAAATTAACAAATACGTTTATATTTGCATTTTAGGCTTTGTTTAATGATGTGACTTCTAGAATTTTTATCAAGTCAGTTCATCATGTTTTGCATTTGTGGTACTCTGTTGTTGAATGTGATATTTCATACCATTCTCCCACAAAAATTTAATGTCATTTTAATTTTAGAAATTTGGATCTAAAAGTACTTGAAAAGATTTGAGGGACTTTGAATTTGTGAAATTGTGGAATAACCCTGAAACAGTAGAAAAGTTTATTTAGGAGGGGATTGACCTCTGCACATGTGTTTGAATGAACTAAAATAATTATATAAAAGTAAACTTTATCTATTTTTTCCTGCATTTTTATTTTGAGGTTTTAAAATAGTATTTTCGAATTCTTACTGTAGAATTAAACATTGCTGATACTAAAAAAGAAATACATCTTGTGTCATCCCCAAAATAATACTCTAGTTGCCATGTCATGGAAAATAACACTATAATTATTATGTCATCAACTGCCAGGCTTTCTTTTTTCCTGCTACTGTATCATAATTAGCTTCATCACATAGACTTAATTATATTAGGTGAGCAGAAATATAGCAATGTCAGCTGTCAAGTGAGTATGGCTACTTCTAAAATTTTTGAATCTCTAAGATGTATAGCTCACTCAGAGCTAGTGAAAATTCCTCTATCCTTCCTTCAGAGATATAGTATATTTCCTCCCAATCCTCTATGATGGTATCTGAAACTCTCTAGACACTCCCAGAAACTTTTGGTTTTTAATACTTTTTTAAGATGTCAGCAATGATGCAGTTTGTTCTACGATTCTGCAGCCTAGGACCTCCTAGGACCTCTTCCTTATTTGTAAATGTTTAATTGCCTTTTTAAAAAATTTAAAATGCTCTTACCAATATTTTCTGTGTTTACAAGCAATTTGACTTGACTTGTATTGAAGGCATATTGTTTTCTTTAGTGTTTTAGTTTGGGCATGACTACTGTGTCAAAATATTGAGGGTTACGTGTGCCTCCTCTTTATCTTTTGATTTCTGGTACTTCTCTTTGTGGCATTATATTTAATTTGAGCCAAACTGTATGTGTTGAGCATATCCTGAATGCATAATTCTTGAAATTCAACAAATTCTATATTACTTACATTATGGTTTGGGACTTGTTGCAGTTATGTTTCATGGGTGTATAAGGGAGTGGAAACAAAACATTTGTATGTACTCTGTTTTTGTTGCTTTTACATGCATTATCTCAATTAATCACTCTGTGATGTTATTAGCAGTGCATTATTATTCCAGGTTTTTAGATCTGAGGGTTGAGATTCAGGGATATGCAATAATTTATTCAGTGTCTTATAATTAATGAATGTTAGAATTGTTATTTTTCAGACTCTAATCCCATTGTCCTTCCTTCTACTGATTATCTCACACTGAGAATCTCTACATACAGTTACTTAGGGATTTTGTTCCCCAAATGAATTTTGAATGAAAACAGTCTAGATCAGATGATTAGTAAAAAGAAAATATCTCCCTACTGTAACTCAGATGTGTCATTTTACTTTTTATTTAGAAATTCATAAAGGTTAAATAAGTGTTCATATCACTTTATACTAACGAAAACTTCATCACCATATACATATTTTTATCCTCCAAGCACTTAAATACAGTGGGCACCTCCTGTATATTATGATAGGAGATTGAAGATCCCAGATGTACTGTTTGGTTTCCATTACCTTTTCTGTATACTCCAGGAACACTGGCTTGTTTCCGTTCATTTCAGCCCCCAACACCTTCAGGGAGGCTACACAGAGGCAAGAGAAAGATCGCATGTCTTTCTTCCCTTTGAGGCGTGGTAAGCTTTTTCTCCGGCATTGACACGGTTTTGGTTCTAAAATTGGGAAAGGAACTTCAAGTGGGAAGGCACACCCTGTCTCCTGGGTCCTGACTCCCTCGTAGTCCAGGCTGTTAAGTTCCTCTCAGCTGGACATCTTCCATTGAATTGTTGCCTTTATTAAGACCTCTGGGTTTCAGAACACTTCTCGTTTAGGACACTTGTCTCACTGCACAGAAATACTCAGAAGGTCTGGACCCCGTGGCAGCATCCTTTCCCAGTAGACCCATGGAGCTGGGGAGAGTCGCATTCAAGTAGCAAAGTCTAGCATAGTTAGTGCCAAAGGGCTCCCATTCCACCTTCCTCCCTGCCTTGGAAAGGGAATTGATGCCTTTTAATGATTTTAGGAAACAAAGAAACTCTTTATCAGCATGTTGAACCATCACTTTGGGCATAACTGTTCTCTAAATTAAGTTAAACATTTTTTTCGTACCTATTTAAAACATTAATGCCTTGGCTATAATTTTGCAAGCTTGCTATATTTTAATTTTTCCAGGGCAAAATAATCAGCTTACTTTTTTATGTTTTAAATTTGATTCTCCCCTTATGCATTGCATATTATAGCAAATAGTAATAGAAGTTAGCCAAATAGGCTGTGACAATTTAATTAATAATGCATTTTGTTTGCAAGTATTTAGGCCTTGTGCTTTGAGTGATAAATGCAAAAATGATAATTTATTACAAGTAAATTCATGTACTTGCACTATAGTTTGATGAACCAGTAAATTTTGTCAGCATGACTGTCATTAGCAACAGAAAGCTAGATAATTTCAAATATATATGTTTTGACTTCATGAACACCTGAAGTGATGGCTTGTGTAAGAACAAGTTTTTCTTTTTGTCCCTAAATTTGCATGAACTTATTTTAAGGTAGTAAACACACCACTGTATTTCTGAAGTCTTGTACACTTAAATATAAAGAACTAAATATAGGCACATTCGATTTACATTCCAAAATAATAAACTCCAATTAATTTGCAAGTTCATTCTAAAGTATTTCCTATTTTAGGTAAGTAATTCTGTTTGTAATATAGTAAGCCAAAGTATCTTTATGACTCTTTGGGTTCGCTAATAGTAATCTAGAAAATGAGCCTATGCACAATTACTACAACTGAAACAGCCATAATAAGTTTATCTCATGTGGAAGCCAGGCGCGTGTTATAATCGAAAGGGATGGCATGCCTGGTTTAGTGCTTCAAAGTCAGCTGGGCTTTGAGCGACTGTAAATAGGAGGAGGGGAAGGGGCTCCCTGGGCATCTGAGTTTGTGGTGTCCAGGCGCCAGTGGAAGTTAGCTGCCCTGACAGCCTCTCAGGAAGGCTCTTCTGCCCCCAACCACATATACCAGTGGAGATTTTAAATTGGATCCATACATCAGAGAGTCTAAGAGCTAAATAATTCCATGATCCACCGAAATGTACCTGTTTTTTCAGGTTATTAATGAATGAAAGTATTTCTTCAGTGAAGCAATTTTGGAGGCATCTACTCAGGTTATAAGGCTCAGACAGGGCATTGTTGTCCACATGGGGTGTTTAGGCCCTGGGGGCGGGCTGATCAGTGCTTTTGTTCAGGTTGAGAGGGTTTTCCCCAGGCCTCCTTCAGGTTTTAATTGATGCTGGCTGTATCCCCTTTTACTAGATGCTTGGGACTTATGGTTAGCCATCTCCCTTTTCATGGCACTTTTGGTCTTACTGATAAGTCAAGTCTTTCCCCCCACGTGTTTCTAATGTCCAGGTGTCACCAGGACTAACTGTGAGTAGAAGTCCTGGCAGCTCTCATACCTGCTTCTCCTTTGCTCTGAGCCTCTGGGACCACACAGGGCATCCTGTAGGACTTTGGGGTCATCCTTGTCTCCTTTCCTTTCTCTCTTTTCTCAGAAGTGTTTATATGTTAGGTATGAAAGCATCACTGTTCTTTTCAGTTTAGATGGAAACATCACCCTTTTCCTTGAAACATGAAAGTATCCCAAACCCAGACATTCCTAGAGAAAGCGTACAGATGTGTGTGTGCAGTAGTTTGGGTTATTAGAAACTTAGGTTACTTTTATTTATTTATTGAGGATTTTATTTATCTGAGAGAGAGTGAGCCAGAGAGAGCATGAGCAGGGGGGAGGAGCAGAGGGAGAGGGGAAAGACTCCCTGCTGAGCTGAGCAGGAAGCCAGATGCCAGGCTTGATCCCAGGACCCTGGGATCTTGACCTGAGCTGAAGGCAGCAGCTTAATCTACTGAGCCATCCAGGTGCCCCCAAAACTTAGGGTACTTTTAAATGAGAGAATAATACGTTTTATAAAAACTCTGAATGACATTTATTTAAACAGTTTCAAATTTTTCCCTACCAGAGGAGTATGAGATTAACTCCTGTTATTGTCACTTGATTGTCCATTTGAAAGAAATTAAGTTCCTTTGGCTAAGTTGTCAGTGGGTTAAGACTCTGACTCTCGTTCTCAGCTCAGGTCTTTATCTCAGGGTCCTGAGTTCAAGCCCCAGGTTGGGCTCCACTCTGGGCACTGGAATGGAGCCTACTTAAAAAACAAAACAAAACAAAAAGGATCATCATCTTCCTCAGTGTTTATTCCTTGTGAATTTCTGTAGGGTAAACACTGTTTTCTGTTCTACCACTGAAATGGGTAGTGTATTCTCATGGATGCATCGAGATCTTTTACTCTGTGTTTATGAGCATCATGTGATCTCTGTGGAGTGTTTTTGTAAAACCTCTCAGGTCATTTCTGTCTGCTGGCCTCAGGCTCGCTCTCACCGTTATTCACCCACTGTGTATTGGTCTCCCTCTCATTTCTTGTCTTACTCTAGTGGCTGGCAGATTTTTTTCTTTCTTTCTTTCTTTAGGAAAAATAAAGTGTTTAGGGGCTCTTCTCTGCTTTAAAAAATATATATTTATACCAGATATAACTCTCTTGAGCCCAGATGGAGGAAAACATGTCTTCTTTCCATCTCGGCTCGCTTACTTTAATGAGTGGGAGGTTGTCATATTTTGATGTTCTAGTATTGCATGAGCTTAGAACTCTCCTTCTTCTGTCTTTTCCCATTTCTCCGTCTGCAGACAGTATCCAGTGTAGAATTAGTATCCTGTGATCATTTACCATGG